CATATACAAATTCTACCCCTATTCTGGAGGAATCAACAATTTTTTGGTAAAAAATCAGAATAGAATGCTTACTATCCCGTTAGTTTTTAACAACTGCAAAATCAGAGACATGCCATTCTAAAGCAAACCTAACAGATCATATGAAGCAAAAATATTATCAAGAAACATTAACTTTACCACAAAGTATAGCAATCAAAGCACTTTTCAAAATCCGATCCAATGCTAGCAATCATTATATTATATAATCACTTAAACCCCAAAAGTATAGGGAAAAAAACGTACACTTGACCATTTTCAATCACAAGTTCTTTAGAGAATAAAATATTCTTTGAACTAAACCTCATGAGAACTAGAATTCCCTTTTCAATATATGGTCTCTCCTAGAGCTGTAACTAAATATTACTGAGTGGCAGAAAAACAAATCTCAAGAAATGATGGACTTAAAAAAATTTCATTGTAGAAAGCACAAAGCAAATCCTAATAATACCAATTTAAAAATGATAGCTCCCTTGCTTCAAGAGAAGCAAATATAAAAACTCACCATAATGACTAAAAGACCCAACTGGATATGTTGAGCCTCAGATGGACTTTAATGAGCATAATCACTAAGCAACTTAAATTAGAAAGTCAGTTTTATTTAGTGGTTGATTAAATCATTATTAAATTCATAGATTGTGAAATTAATAGTTCAATTTTAATCAAAACTTTTCAAAGTCAAATTCAATAGTGTGTAACTGAGAACGTGAAACTAATTTGGTTAAATCTTTAGATGTCTTATGTTGAAATTCTATTAATTCTATGGCATTAAATATAATAATAATATATGATTCATTTCTCAATCATATCTTCCAAATCCATACACTGAATAGGAATTTCATTAATATAAAAGTACAATTAAAGTCATCTGGGTTTATTTTTCTTAAATACCAACAAAAGACTCAACATACCCAGTTTGGGCTTTTCCAGAATGATGTTCTGTATTTGTATTATATTTCCTGAAACGGGAGCTATCCCTTTCAACTGGTTGATTAACATTTCGTGTATCCTGACTTAGGCAATCTCTATGACCCCCTCCAGCTCTAAAAAGCTAAGTTATATGACTATTATTTTTAAGTGTCAAAGGCTTCCTGAAGTCTCTGAATATCATTAATTAACACCTTGATCTCAATAGTAAACATAAGAGGAAAATGGCTTTAATTTTCTCTTGCAATGCAACAGAGGAAGATAAAGATGAACGCTTGAACAATGACCATGAACATGACCTAAATTAGAAAACAGGCTGTCACCTCAAAGGAAGAGAAAAATTATCTCTCATCTATATTCTCGTAAATATTGAAAATATTATGTTCAAAAGAAATGTGAATGTGGGGGCACCAGGGTGGCTCAGTCAGTTAAGCATCTTGACATTGGCTCAGGGCATGATCTCACAGTTCATGGGTTCAATCCCCATGTCAGGCTATGCGCTGACAGCTCAGAGCCTAAATCCTGCTTCAGATTCTGTGTCTCCCTCTCTCTCTCTGCCCCTCCACTGCTTGCACTGTCTCTCTCACAAAAATAAATAAACATTTTAAATAAATAAACAAATAAAGTTTCATTTCCAAAAGCAAAAGGTAAATTCTTTCTCTTAAGTCATTTTCTCTTCAGTCAAAACCAATCATGAATTCAAAGCAAAAATAATAATAGCCAGCTCTAGGATGCAAAACTAGAAACATTCTATTTTTTATGATTTAATATTTTTAATTTGACAGATATCTTTTTAGAAAAAAATTTTTAATCTTTATTTACTTAGAGAGAGAGAATGCACACACACATGAGTGGGGAAGGGGCAAAGAGAGAGGGAGAGAGAAACCCAAGCAACTTCCGTGCTCACAGCACAAAGCCCAATGTGTGGCTTGATCCCACGACTGTGAGATCTTGACCTGAGCTGAAATCAAGAACCAAATGTTTAACTGAGCCACCCAGGTGCCCCCAAGAGAAAAAAATGTTTAAACTTTTGCCCACCCCCACCCCAAAGGTGGCCCAAAGGCTACCAATCTATTGGAAAATAATAATAATAAAGGAATATGTACAAGAAAAACATATTTAGGAAACATGATAGATGAATTTTTTATAAAAAGAAAAACACTGTACTTACTATGTAAAGGAACAGTATTTTCATTAAACAAATGTTCATTAAATAATTCTTGAATTTCATATTATAGCCAGGTAAAGAGATAGAGAATAATAGTTCTAATCAGAAAATAGAACAAGTTAGAAAGCTCATTATAGGGAAGGGAAAGAAAAAAGAAGAGCAAAGGAAACAGAAAGATGGAAGAAAAATAAGACATAAAACTATGGATTTAAGAGAGATGAAAAATAGGGAGGAAAATACAAATAGGTTGAACCATATAAACTGAAGATCACTTAGGGCAATTTGAATAAGTTTTCTGAACATCCCATTAGTTCTGCAGCAAGTAACTACTATTCACAGAGCAACCACATTTAGTAATCCATTAAGCTTTGAAGAAACAACTGGCCTGTAATCTTCCACACTATGATCTGAACAATAGTGCTTTACAGGATGACACCCAAACAAGCAAGTAGACCCAAACAAGGTTGCAACTTGCCTTATTTCAGATCATGTGCCACACTGCAAAGCTGAAAAATAAAAACCTGTCAGCACCAAGTAAAAAAAATATACTATTTTAATGCATTTTTAAATTTTTTTATGTTTATTTATTTTTGAAAGACAGAACATGAGCATGAGTAAGGGAGGGTCAGAGAGAGAGGGGGAAATACAGAATCCAAAGCAGGCTCCAGGCTCTGAGCTGTCAGCACAGAGCCGGATGCGGGGCTCAAACCCACGAACCGTGAGATCATGACCTAAGCCAAAGTCAAACATTTAACCCACTGGGTCACCCAGGCGCCCCCAAGTAAAATTTTTTAATCACAGAGCACTAGTATCCTCTATAGTGAATAAACCCAGGCCTCTTTTATTTTGTACCTTGTCACTGGAGTGCTAGAAGGCCAACTGAGGAGAATTCATGCAACTTATGTTCGTGACTATCTTCCCTGTCACATTCTTAGTCAGAACTGGCTAACTTTCCAAACTATTGAAAACAGGGTCCATAAGCAAGAAGACCAAACCCATGACTCAGCTCAATGGCTCTCACATGTTTTTCTCCACCAACGATTTACCTCCTGAACCAGGAGTTAAGAGGTAGGATAGCCCATGAAATTTAGGGTAGCACATGAGAGTGAACAGGCAGTAAAGTATGCTCCACAGAGAGCTCTGAACTGTTCTAAAACTCCACATCCAAAGTACTCAAGCTACTAATTTAACCAAACAGCAAAAAGTAGCATCAGTCCCTGAATCAAAACACATTGAATGTCCTGGGTTGAATGAAGACTGTACATAACATTAGATCATTTGAAAGTGATAGAGTGTAAATTTTATCTCAACACTACCTTTCTATCTGAGCAGCACTGATTTGACCACTACTTCTTTTTTTAATTTTTTTTTAACATTTATTTATTTTTGAGAGACAGAGAGAGAGAGCATGATTGGGGTAGGGGCAGAGAGAGAGGGAGACAGGCCACAAAGCAGGCTCCAGGCTCTGAACTGTCAGCAAAGAGCTTGATGCCAGGCTCAAACTCACAAACCGTGAGATAATGACCTGAGCTGAAGTCGGACGCTTAACTGACTGAGCCACCCAGGTGCCCCTGGCCACTACTTCTTAATATAACCCAGAGTCTCCATCTTTTTTGACAAGGGAAAAAAAAAACCATTCATTTTCTTCAATAACTGATATCACTAAGAGTTGAAAGTGAAGTGGCCAGTATCTGCAAAAGGTATACATGTGAGAAGACAAAGAAGAAACAGGGTATTACTCTAGATTTTATGCCCTCCTTCTTCGGGTTCCCAGCAAACTGTAGAATAGCCGTGTGCTGCAAAAACCAAATAAACGCATCCAATAAATGTTTATGGACGCACACACTGTGGTGGAATCTTGGCATGTAAAATGAATTAAGTTAACCTCAATGCACTCACAGTCTCTTGGGAGAGATAATACACATCAGATTTGGGGAAGTGTTGTGCTAAACTGTGGTGAAGATGCTAAACTAAGTACGAAAGAAACACAAAGTTGAGAAAAGGAAAAGTTCCGACTAAAAGGTTGGGAGAGTGGGGAAGGATGGAATCGTGGAAGGCATCACAGATTGCAAGATGTTAGAACAGGGCATTATAGGATACATAGGAGTTTACTAAAGGGAAAAAAAAAAAAAAAAAAAGGAGCAGTTCAGCCAACGTGGGTCCAAAAAATGAACAGCCTTAACGAAAGCAGGAAGACACAAAAATACACAATGTGTTTAGGAAGCCAAGAGTACGCTAATGTGGAATGTGGCTGCGGCAAGGTAAGAGGGCAATGGAAATGGAAGAAGCTCGAAGAGTTAACATGGAGGCACAAAGAAAGGGGTCTTAGATTGCTGACCTGCATTCTGAAAACAACAAGGAGACACTGATGGTTTTTTAATAAAGTGAGGGTGACAAGATCAGATCAATACCTTAGGAAGACAAATGTGGTGATGGCGTGAAAGCTGGATTATTGGGAAATGGAAACAAAATGATCAGGTACAAAATGACTATAAAAGGGAGTCTTTGAATCATTAGATTTATTGATTATAAACCCTGATCCTCCTCTCATCTAAGTATCATTGTCCTATGCACTGGGGGGGAAGAAAGCAAGAAAAAGGAAAAGGTAAACCCTTGAATAAATTCTAAAATATTCTATAATTCAGTTTTCACTAGTTCAACTAGTTTTCCCAATTTTTCTAAAGAAGAGATGATTCTTAAATATATCTTTGTTGTAATCACCATCTCTGGTTTCAAAATTTTATATCAATGTCACCAAAATTACTTTCATACTATTATCTCATGGCATGTAGTGAGGGGAAAAAACCTGTTAAACATCAGATATGACCCAATAAAGTAATTGCCATAGGGTTTTCTTTTTTATCCTTACCATTACAAGTTCTTCCTGTAATTCACTGCAACTTTTTTCATTATACTGGAGTCTCTTTGAAAGGTCTATAATTACTTTCTTCTGTTCCTCGATCTCTTCATTTAGTTTCTTGGTTTTGGAGAAATACTCTCTTTCTAATCTGAAAAGTTAAAGGGTCAGAGCAGATTTTTCAAATACAGTTTTATCAAGTCCTATTACATAGCTTTAACATGACTGGCAGATGTATTATCTATTATGTGTTTGTGCCAAAGGCTTTTAAAGACTACTTCTCCTTTTTCCAAACAGAAAGGATGGCATATTCTTAAATGAAAGACTTTAAAGGAATAATACCTCACCCCTCTGTTCATAGGTATTTTACTATGCCCAAGGTTACAAACAAAATCGATTTGTTTAGTGTTGATTTGTTCTCACCATTATCTTTGATGAACAAAACCCACACACCTCAGTTCAGTTAGCTCAGAAATTGCCGCAAGACAGAAAACAGTTCTATCAAACAATTTTCAGATCAAAATACAACATTAGAAATGGAACAAATGTTTTATTCGTGAATGTCCATGTAAGTGGAACTTAGAATGATGGCGTATAAAGTCCAAAAGAAAGAATCATCAAAAATCATACATATTCATGATGAAAACACATAAAATTATTTGCTTTCTTTTTCCCATTAGTTAACATACAGTGTAATGTTAGTTTCAGGTGTAGAATATAGTGATTCGTCACTTTCATTCAACACCCGGTGCTCATCACAAGTGCACTTCTTGGTACCCATCACCCATTTAGCCCATCTTCTACCCACCTCCCTCCAGCAACCCTCAGTTTGTTCTCTATAGTTGCGGGTCTATTTCTTGGCTTGCCTCTTTTTTTCCCTACATTCATCTGTTTTGTTTTTTAAATCCCACCTATGAGGGAAATCATACGGTATTTGTTTTTCTCTGACTTATTTCGCTTAGCATAATACTCTCTAGCTCCATCCACATCACTGCAAATGGCAAGATTTCATTCTTTTTGATGGCTGAGAATTATCCCACTGTGTGCGTGTTTGTGTGTATAAATACACACACATATATAGAACCTCTTCTTTATCCATTCATTCAGTCAGTGGACATTTGGGCTCTTTCTATAATTTGGCTATTGTTGACAATGCTGCGGTGAACAATGTGGTGCAGGTAACCCTTCAAATCAGGGTTTTTGTATCCTTTGATTAAACACCTAGTAGTGCAATTGCTAGATCATAGGATAATTCTACTTCTAACCTTCTGAGGAAACTCCACACCATTTTCCAGAATGGCTGCACCAGTTTGCATTCCCAACAAAAGTGCAAGAGGGCTCCCTCTTCTCTGCATCCTTGCCAACATCTATTGTTTCTTGTGTTGCTAACTTTAGCCATTCTGACAGGTGTGACGTGGTACCCCATCATGGTTCTAATTTGTATTTTCCTGATGATGAGTGATGTTGAGCACCTTTTCATGTATCTGTTAGCCATTTTGGATCTTTTCTTTGGAAAAATATCCATTCATGTCTTCTACCCATTTTTAATGGGATTATTTGTTTGTTGAGTAATGAGTTTAATAAGTTCTTTATAGGTTTTGTTCTTTATCAGATAAGTCATTTACAAATATCTTCTCCGATTACAAAGGTTGTCTTTTAGTTTTGTTGTTTCCTTCACTTTGTAGAATATATTTACCTTGGTGAAGTCCCAATGGTTTATTTTTGCTTTTGTTTCCCTTGCCTCAGAAGACCTATCTAGTAAGAAGTTGCCACAGATGATGTCAGAGAAGTTACTGCCTGTGTTCTCCCCTAGGATTTTGATGATTTCCTGTCTCACATTTAGTTCTTTCATCCATTTTGAATTTATTTTTGTGTATGGTGTAAGAAAGTGGTCCAGTTTCATCCTTTTTCAAGTTGCTCTCCACTTTACCCAACACCATTTGTTGAAGAGACTCTTTTTTTCCATTGGATATTCTTTCCTGCTTTGTTGAAGATTAGCTGACCATATAGTTGTGGTTCCATTTCTGGGTTTGCTATTCTGTTCCATTGATCTATGTGTCTGTTTTTGTGCCAGTATCATACTGTCTCTATCGCTATAGCTTTGTAATATAACTTGCAGTCTGAAATTGATGCTTCCAGCTTTGCTTTGCTTTGCCAAGATTGCTTTGGCTATTCAGAATCTTTTGTAGTTATATCCAAATTTTAGGATTGTTTATTCTAGCTCTGTGAAAAATGCTAGTGGTATTTTGATAGGGATTCCATTAAATGTGTAGATTGCTTTGGGCAGTATAGCCATTTTAACAATATTGGTTCTTCCAATCCATGACCATGGAATGTTTTACCATTTCTTTGTGTCATCTTCAATTTCTTTCATCAGTGTTTTATAGGTTTCAGAGTACAGACCTTTTACCTCGTCAGTTAGGTTTAATCCTAAGTATCTTATGGTTTTTGGTGCAATTATAAATGGTATCGATTTCTTTATTTCTCTTTCTGCTGTTTCATTACTGGAGTATAGAAATGCAACAGATTTCAGGGCGCCTGGGTGGCTTAGTCAGTTAAGCGTCCAACTTTCGCTTAGGTCATGATCTCGCGGTTCGTGGGTTCGAGCCCCGCGTCGGGCTCTGTGCTGACTGCCAGCTCAGAGCCTGGAGCCTGTTTCAGTCTGTGACTCCCTCTCTCTCTGACCCTCCCCTGCTCGCGCTGTCTCTCTCTCTCTCTCTCTCTCTCCTAGAAATAAATAAAACATTAAAAAAAAAAGAAATGCAACAGATTTCTGTGTGTTGTTGATATTGTATCCTGCAACTTTACTGAATTTGTGGATCAGTTCTAGCAATTTTTTTGGTGGAGTCTTTTGAGTCTACTACAGAGTATCATGTCATTTGAAAATAGTGAAAGTTTAACTTTTTCCTTGCCAATTTGGATGACTTTTATTTCTTTTTTGTTGTCTGATTGCTGAGGCTAGGGCTTCCAGTACTATGTTAAATAACTGGTGAAAGTGGACATCCCTATCTTGATCTTAACCACAGAGGAAAAGCTCTCAGTTTTTTCCCCATTGAGAATGATATTAGCCATGAGTATTCCATATGTGGCCTTTATTATGTTGTGGTATATTCCCTCAAAACCTACTCTTTGAGGTTTAGGGCACCCGGTGGCTCAGTCAATTAAGTGTCCAACTCAGGGGGTGCTGACAGCTCAGAGCCTGGAGCTGGCTTCGGATTCTGTGTCTCCCTCTCTCTCAGCCCCTCCCACCCCAAAATAAATATACATTAATTTAAAAAAGAAAAAAACCTACTTTGTTGAGGGTTTTTATCAAGAATAAGTGTTGTACTTTGTCAAATGCTTTTTCTGCATCTATTGAGAGGATCATCTGGTTCTTACCCTTTCTTTTATTAATGTGGTGTATCATGCTGATTTGCAAATATTGAACCACCCCTGCAGCCCAGGAATAAATCCCACTTGATTGTGGCAAATGATTTTTTTTAATGTACTGTTGGATTCAATTTGCTAGTATTTTGTTGAGAATTTTTATGCCCATATTCATCACTGATATTGGCCCGTAGTTCTCTTTTTTAGTGGATTCTTTGTCTGGTTTTGGAATCAGAGTAATGCTGACCTCATAGAACGAGTTTGGAAGTTTTCCTTCCATTTCTAGTTTCTGGAATAGTTTGAGAAGAATAAGTATTAAGTCTTCTTTAAATGTTTGGTAGAAGGGTGCCTGGGTGGCGCAGTCAGTTAAGCGTCCAACTCTTGATCTTGGCTCAGGTCATGGTCTCACAGTGTGAGTCTGAGGCCCACATCAGGCTCTGCGCTGTTGGGGCACATAGCCTCTTGGGATTCTGTCTCTCCCTCTCTCTCTGCCCCTCCCCTGCTTGTGCATGTGATCTCTCTCTCTCTCTCTTTCTCTCTCTCCCCCAAAACAAATAAACTTATTAAATAAATAAATAAGTAAATACTTGGTAGACAGGCACCTGCGTGGCTCAGACAGGCTGAACAACCAAGCCCTGACTTTGCCTCAGGTCATGATCTCACAGTTTATGAAATCAAGCCCCATGTCAGGCTCCACGCTGACAGTGAGGAGCCTGCTTGGGGTTCTCTGTCTCTGCCCCTCCTTCACCATCTCTCTCCCTCTCTCTCTGTTAAAATAAATAAGCTTTTAAAAACAAATAAATAAATATTTGGTAGACTTCCCCTGTGGAGCCATCTGGCCCTGGACGTTTGTTTATTAGAAGATTTTTGATTACTGATTCAATTTCTTTGCTCATTATCAGTCTATTCAATTTCTCTATTTCTTCCTGTTTCAGTTTTGGTAGTTTATATGTTTCTAGAAATTTATTCATTTTTTCAAAATTGTCCGATTTGTTGGCATATAATTTTCCATAATGTTCTTTCATAATTGTTTCTATTTCTTTGCTGTTGACTGTTATTTCTTTTTTTCTTATTTGTGATTTTATTTATTTGGGTCCTTTCTCTTTTCTTTTTGATAAGTTTGGTCAGGGGTTATCAATTGTATTAATTTTTTCAAAGAACCAGCTCCTGGCTTCATTGATCTGTTCTACTGGGGAGTTTTTCATTTCTATAGCACTTATTTCTGCTCTATCTTCATTATTTCCCTTCTTCTGCTGGCTTTAGGCTTCATTTGTTGTTCTTTTTCCAGCCCTTTAGGTGTAAGGTTAGGTTGTTTATTTGAGATTTTTCTAGCTTCTTGAGGCAGACCTGTATTGCTATATACTTCCCTATTAGGACCACTTCTGCTGCATCCCAAAGATTTTGGACCATTGTGTTTTCATTTTCATTTGTTTCCATGTGTTTTCTTAATCTTCTTTAATCTCTTGGTTGATCCATTTCTCCTTTAGTAGGATGTTATTTAACTTCCATATATTTGTGGTCTTTCCAGACTTTTTTCTTGTGGTTGACTTCAAGTTTCATTGAGTTGTGGTTGGGAAATATGCAATGGTATGATTTCAATCTATTTGTATTTGCTGAGGCCTGATTTATGAGCTAGTAAGAGATATATTATGGACAACAGGATAACAGTGACAGGGAGCCTAAAAAAACAATTCTGTTCAGAATGAAGAAGGTGGAGAGAAGAATCCAGATGGATGTCTCTGACAAGAAGTTTATTTATCTTTTTTTTACCGACAAGAAATTTAA